TTCTACAAGGTCCCTTCCGACCCTACTTCTATGATTCTAGGATTATCAGCATATTGGAGCTTGATGATTGATTGAGGTCAGGGTTGTTTTGGTTTTGTCTCAATCATCTGAGATAAAACAGCTTACCATCCATTCAGTAGTTTTGTTCCACTCTGACTGGAAACTTGTTAGTGGTCACATGTACCATCATGGTAAGCAATGTTAAGAAGTGTTGGAGTGATGCAGCCTTCCTTAAAAGATAGAAATTAAGGGCTGGAAGGGACCTTGAAAGATCATAGAGTCCACCCCCCTGCTCTGGGCGGGAATACTGCTGAGAAAGGATTCCATCAAGGTCTGACCAGTGTCGCATAGAGAGAAGATTTGCTTCTTGTTAGCTCACGCACCCCAAGTCACCTCAGTTGGGACATGTGCTTGCTGAGAAGCAGACCTTCAGGCAATTGCCAAAATTGTTACCGAGGCATCTCAAAAAAATGGGACTGATGCTTAACATTCAGAAGACTAAAGTCCTCCATCAACAAGCTTTCAATGAGCAGTCCCTATCTCTAGTAATTCAGAGTCTGTCCAGTCTCCTTTTGAAGACTTCCAAGGTTGGGGACTGCACCACCTCCTTGGGAAGTCTATTCCAGATTCTGGTCATCCTTATCGTGAGAGTTTTCTTGCAACCTGAAACCATCCTTTAACAGTTTACAGCCATTGCTCCTTGTTCTCCCCTGGGGTGCCCTAGTGAACAGCTTTTTTTCTCAGCTCCTGATATTCACCCCTTAAATACTTATAGACAGCTACCAAGTCCCCCTTCAGTCTTCTCTTCCCCAGGGTGAACAGCCCCAAATCTCTTAGTCTTTCCTTATAAGATCTGTCCTCCAGGGCCTTAATCATTCTTGTGGCCCTTCTCTGGACCCTTTCAAGATTCTCCATGTCTTTTTTTGAAGTGTGGCTCCCAGAACTGGACACAGTACTCCAGCTGGGGTCTCACCAATGCCAAGTAGAGAGAAAGTATTGCTTCTTTAGGTTTGCTTGTGACACATTGGCTATTGCATCCCAGTGTGCTGTCATCTCTGACTACAGCATTGCACTGGTGGCTCATGTTCATCCTGTGATCAATCATAAGCCCGAGGTCTCCCTTTCAGCCTTCATGCTGGCCAGATAATCTCCTCCTAACCTATATTCATGTCACTGGTTACTTCTCCCCAGGTGTAGCACTGTATTTATCCTTATTGAACTGCATCCAGTTCTGCTCCATCCACCTTTCCAGCTTGTTCAGGTCAGCTTGGCACGTACTATCCTCTAGCATGACCTCTTTTCCCAATAACTTAGTATTGTCCGCAGACTTGGCCAGCCTGCTCTCGTCTGTGGACAGCCTCATCTAAATCATTGATAAAGATGTTGAACAGCAGAGGGCCAAGAACCAAACCCTGCAGGACACTTCCCACCAAGACTGTACAGACCAGTCTACTAACACTCTCTGGGTTCAACCCCTCAACCAGTTCCCAACCCACCTGACTCTGTACTTTGCCAACCCACAATCCCCCAGTTTTTTTGTGTAAGAGCATCATGGAAGCCCATATCAAAGGCCTTTTTAAAATCCAAGTATATGACATCAACCACATCTCCCACATCTAAGTGGTTCATTACTTGATCATAGAAGGAGACTAGGCTGGTCAGACATGACCTGCTCACAGTGAAACCATGTTGGTTATCCTTCAGCATCATGCCTTCCGCCAGTCTCTCACAAATGGATTTTTTGATAATTTTTTCCAGAATTTTACCCAGTATCGAGGTAAAACTGACTGGCCTATAGTTTTTCAGATCCTCCCTCCTCCCTTTCTTAAAGATTGACACCACACTGGCCCTTTTCCAGTCTTCCGGGACCTTTCCCAAGAACCACAAATCTTCAAATACCTTTGTCAACAGTCCCACAATGAATCTGGCCAATTCCCTCAGCACTCTTGGGCATAGTCTATCCAGTCCTGCTGACTTGAAGACATTTTGGCTGCTCTAGGTGCTCCCTCACCAGTTCAACACTGACCATTGGTTGTCAATCACATGCCTCCCACCCCCATATCCGACCGAGGAGGCAACCACCATTTGCATGCAGGAGCACTGATGCAAAGTATTCATTAGAGAATTCACCTTACTCCTGACTGTCTGTTATCAGTTGTCTTGTCCCATTCTGCAAGCTTCCATCTTAACTCCCATCTTAACCCCAAAGGGATCTGTAATAGATCCTTTACTGAGAGTGATTATTGAGATTGATTTCTTTTATTTTTTTGTGAGTATACATTAAAAAGGGCTGAACATCTGTGAGCACAATTGACTGAACTTAAGGATCCAGGAGGCTCCTTTGTTTCGTATGGATTCAAATCATGCGTAGAGCCAACTAAGATGCCAGTTGGCTACAGCAGCGATTAACAAAAGTGTAGGTGGGACCTTAGTGATTTAATCAAGTCTTGTAGGAAATAAACAGAAATCTGAAGTACATTTTTGGGTGGCTGAGGAATGCTAGAGGAGGAAATGATTTCCAGCCCTGAGGTTTAAAAGACATTTTGTAGTTTTAAGTCCTCCATTTGGTATGATTTTAGGTGTTGTGTTGAAATGTTCTGAAAGTGTACAGGAATTTCCAGGGTGTGGAAGACTGGACAGAATAGTAATGCTCAGGGTCTTTGCAGTTCTAACCTCAGATGGCAATGATCAACTATGAAGCATTGGCTAAGTCACTTGATCTCTCTTTCTTAGTATCTTTAAAATAATGATGAACCTACATCACAGAGGGGCTATGAGGATTAGTTAAATGTTTGCACATTGCTTTGAAATAAAGTGCAGTGTAAGGGCTAAGAGTGTTTCAGTGATATGGTTGGTCAGTGTTGGGGTTGAAATGGAACTAAGAACTTAGTTGTGCAGCAGGGCTAAGTTACGTAATTGTTTCACTTGAACTTAACAGGGTGTGCTTCTAGTTAGTCACTGGTGTTGACCTTGTTTACTCAGTACCATAGCAAGGAAGTTTGCCCAGGGCAAGCCCACAGCAGCAGCCCATCCTAGCCCCATGCACAGACCCAGGGGGTACATGCCTCCCCCATGCTTGCCCGAGAGTGCACACGACAACAGGAGCTGCCCTACCCCCCCCCCCCCCAACAACCCCCCCCCCGCCCCACCCCCCCCCCCCCCCCCC